TAGGGGTCCTGGAAACATCATGCAAGCAGTAAACATCTGCTGGCCTACACTTCTGGCTCTGTCTCTCCTCTTGAGTTCCAGCCATGGCTTTCTGATTCTGATTCCTCTTATCTGGAATGACATCCAGAATATTCAGCAGTCCAAGCTTCATGGAATCCAACTAAGCACTGAGGCAGGTGTCCACTTCCTGGACATGGGAAGGAGAGCATCCAGGAACAGGAAGTAGGCCTCATTGAAACAGCTTCTAGGCTGTTCCAGGTACATCTTGGAGGGACCACAGAGAAGTGTGGAGTAGCAGATGGCTGCGTTTTCTGGAAAGGGTCTGCCAAAGAAAGGAGAGTCTCCTAACTGGCTTCCCTCCTCCAGTGTAGTCTCCATCCACACTGTCCTCCATACTGCAGCCAGAGATAGCCAAGAAAAGGCAGATCTGACCATGTCACTCCTCTGACGACAGCAGGCTGCTGCCACAGTGGGGTAAATGAGCTCCGTTACGAGTGCATGGCGCCATTACTTGCCTGCACCTACCCCTCACCCTTCACACCCTGCTATGGTCAAGTTGCTTATACCACCACCCCTTAAAAATGCATGCTTATTTCACACTTTTGGGCCTTTGCATTCACCATTTCCTTAACTTAATGTGCTCACCTAGTACCCCCTTTCTCCTGACTCCATCTTATTCTTTAGACAAAGCTCAGATATCAGCCCCCAAAGCCCAGTGCAATGCCCCATCCTCTGAAGCAGAAGCTCTCTGTGACCACATCTAGCTTAGCAAGTCACACATTGCATTGAAATCATCCCTGTGACTCCATCTCTTCCATTGACTCTGAACTCCAAGGAGGACAGGGACAGACTCTCATACATCTGGGTGGTCCTAGACCCTCACACATACTGAAATGGGACCCATTAGGAAAGAGCTCGAGCTATCTTTAAATATTGTAAAGGTTTGTGCGTGGTAAAGGCCAAGTCCAAGTTGCTCAGGGGACAGATTAGGACCAACAGGAAGGAAAAGGAACTTTAAAGAAAAGGTTGGATGGTGAGCTCCTCGGATCAGGAAATAGGTCAAAAACCATTGTGTATCTCCCACCCCTGGTGCTAGTGAGTTCACCCTGATAAATTGAAGAGTTGCTTGGCAGCTGAAGTGGGGATGATGGATTGGGGAGTTGGGGGAGAGATACAGGAAAAGAAGGGAAAGGGGCTGGACAGTTCTGTCAGCCCACCAGAACTGCTGCTTAGGATTGCTGCAGCTGGTTGAAATGTAATAAATGCTAAGCATTTCGTTTATTTCATCAATAAATATTACTGGGTACCCAGTGTATGCCAAGCTGGAGAGTTATCGCAGCTAACTCTTACCAGGTGTTCCCTTTGTGCTGGGCTCGGACGGCCCCCGCAACCCCGTGAGGGAAGAGAGGTGGCGAGAAGGTAAAAGACTTGCTCGAGGTGGCGCAGCCGGCACGTGGCAGAGCCAGGCTTTGACTTGAGCCGCCCAGACCTGGAGCCTGGGTCCCTGACTGCCCTGCTCCAGTGACGCCTCTAAGAAAGATCAAACGAGACGGCTCCTCTGTTGTCCTGCAGCTAGGGGTTTTCCTAACAGGCTACCGTTATATTCTAGCAAATTCTTACTATACAAACCAGCTGGTTATGTTCATCATTTAAAAAACAAAAAAGTTAAATCCTAGAGGGATGGCCCATCAGAGGACAAAGGAGAAACCACATCTGCCCTGAACTGAGCTCCCACAAATAATACACAGAACATATTCAGCTCATTTCCAGATTGTTCTTACTTCCTGATATTTAATTTTTTTAAAAAATTCTTTAATTCAATGGATGTGAGATTTGGCAGATAGAAACAGGATTGAGTGGGTTGGGAATGAATCTATATGTGGGAAGAGAAAACGCAGTGAGAAAAAATAATTAATAGTTGGGACGTGTTCAGATTCACATTATGTAAGAAGGCCCTATTTTGGTTGGTGGGTGAATCATCATTTTTTTTTAAGGGACTTTAAAAAGCGGTGGTTATTCTAATGCTGAATTGGGGAAAGCAGCAATAATATTGATGTGAAGTTTCAAAGTAAATACTAAATAGAATAAACTCTGAGCTGATATAGACTTGTATAAAGTGCTTATAAGCATTCAGAAAATTCAGTCTGTCTTTAAACTTCATTCAATGTGTTTTTGTAAGGAGTGTATCTGTAACAGACTAATGTGCTGTTTGTGGCAATAAATAATGCAGTGTTTTAGCAGAAGCGATGGCATAATGGTTGCACGTTCGTGTACGACTTTATAGTTGAGCGAGTGTTTTACGGTTTGGGTTTTCACGAAGACTTTTAGCCCAGGCACACCTCTGCTGTTTCGCCACAAGAAATGGGGCAACTAAAAGGAACCCAGACTTCTTGGAGAGGTGGCTGATTCCAGGGTGAGGGCAGGGAAAGAACAAGAGACGCTTGGAAAGAGCAGTGCTCGAAGTACGATGGGGGCGTGTCACAGGGTCACGGGAGCCTGCTCAGTGGGGCCCCCGCTGGGCACCTGGGCGGTCTGGGGATCAAAGTGAGTGATAACTGGAATGGACTGTAGCCTGCGGGGTAAAGTAGGATTCCATGAGCCCACACTGCTATCAATAGATGAATAAATAAATAACTGGGAGAGGAGGAAAAGCTCCTCCTTCTATTAGAAAACCAACCAATAAGTGCAGAAGGAATGACGGACTGAGAGAAGTCACTGCTGGCCAACCATCGTCACAATAACGGGGTCAGACCAGAATCATTAATGGATGTTACAGGAGGGTATTAAATTTGAGGAGTAACGATGTGTATATAGCCTCAGGGTACATTCCCAACAAGGTACTTTCTCATTACAAAGGTAAAGTGGTCACTCTCCAGGGGAGACACCTGGCAGGCACCACCTTAACCAAATGACCGAAGTTCCCACCACCAGCAGCGAGACTAAGGGACAGATGTGCCCCAGACAGAATGCGCTAGCCAGAGGTCAGCATCCGTCTCCAGTGTTCCTGACAAACTCGCCTTCCCCAAACCTAATCTTTTTTTTTTTTCTTTCTTTCTTTCTTGAGATAGAGTCTTACTCTGTTGCCCCAGCTAGAGTGCAGTGGCATCATCATAGCTCACTGCAACCTCAAACTCCTGGGCTCAAGTGGTCCTCCTGCCTCAGCCTCCCCAGTAGTCACCACGCCCGGCTAATTTCTCTATTTTTTTATAGAGACAGGATCTCATGCTTGCTCAGGCTGATCTCGAGCTCCTGAGCTCAAGTAATCCTCCCACCTTGGCCTCCCAGAGTGCTAGGATTACAGGCGTGAGCTACCATACTCGGCCCCCAAACCTAATCTTTAGGAAGCATGAGACCAAACTAAATCAGGAAACCAAGTAACTGGACACTGAACAAACATGACAACTGAATGCTACACATGATCTTGGATTTTCTTTTACTATGAAGGATATTATTTGGACAACAGACAGAACCTCAGTAGGATCTGTAGATCAGACAGTTGTGTTGTTTCAGCATTAACTTTCTTTTATTTTTTTCGTTTTTTTTTTTAAACACCAACAAAGCAAAGACAAATCGCATTAATCTTCTGATTTTGATCATGACACTGTGGTTATTAAGAAAGTTCTTTGTCTTTAGGAAATACACATTGAAGTGTTTCGGGGGCAGGGAGGGGAGGAGGGGAGGGAGGGCTTCCCTGGAAGGGGTGCTGTTGTCATGCACTCAGACCACAGAGCCCGCCCCTCTTGGCCCCGGCCCAGGTGAAGGGGGGTGGCCACTACCCCATGGAGCTTCAGCCGCTCCCTAGAAAGGAGTGAGGGGCATGGCTTTGCCTCTCCCACCCTGTTGCCCTGTCTGTGTCCAGACACCACCTTGGCCCAGGCCATTCCCCTTGCCTGGAACCTCCTCGCCTGCCTGGACAAAGGGCGGCTGGGAGGTTTAGAGGAAGGAGAAGTTAGGAGCTCAGGTTTCTCCTTCTGGTAAGCCACTAACCAGAGAGGGAGTGTCACTTCCCAGCCACTGACCATGGGGAGGGGCCACGGGACCCTGCAGACCTCAGCTTCCTCAGCTGCATGATGAAGGGCCTGGGCTAGCCGGTCCCTGGGGCCTTCGGGCCACTTCCTGCGAACTTGCACCTGTCTTAGACTCACCAGTCTCAGCCTGTCTATAAGCTCCTAGAAAGCTCTGCCTTGGCCTCAGGAAAAGAGCTGTGGTCCCAGCCCCTGAAAGGCTGATTTTTGGAGGTCCTTCCTGGTATAGGCAGTACCATGGGCAGAGCACGTGTTCAGACTTTTAGGATATGGCGTTGATGTCCATGGACACTGCTCTTCAGTACGCTCGCAGGCGTGCTGTGTGCCGGCAGCTTGCGTGGCGGTGTACTCCTGCATTCTTCCTGCGGCCCGTGTGTGAAGCACCTGCCACGCCCCAGGCCTGTGCTAGGGACACGGGTGAATTAGACAGAGACTGCCGTCAAGGAGCAGGTGCCTCTTACAACCCTGACAGCATAGTTTTTGTAAAGTGACTAGAAAGCGATAATAAAAGACCAGAAACCCCAGCCTGGCTCCCAGTTAGTTGCATGAACTTGTGTTAGCCAGATAACCTCTGTGAGCCTCAGTCTTCTCACCTGTTAAATGGGGACAGCGGCCTCACTCTGTCGCCCACCCTGCCGACCTCTCAGAGCTGTGGCCCTTGAATGGGAGAATTCTGTGTAGTGTTTTATGAATATGAGGTGGTCTTGTTAATTCTTCAACGTGCGCATGTGGAAATGCTTTGAAAAATGTAGGATCTTAAATGCAAGGAAAGAATGACAGTGTTGTCTCTACCCTGTCCTGATTCTAAAAGATAGAGTGTTGCTGGGACGTGGTAGTGAAGACCCAGAGGACCCAGCTGTGGCGTGGAGGAGGCCCGAGGGCTGCCCCCTCTGCAGAGCCGGTGCCTGCTGTGCCAGCTTGTGGCTCAGAACCCGTTCCTCCGCAATGGAATTGATGGTGGCATTGTTTTTCCAGTGCACCAGGTGGCAGAGCGGGTGGAGGCCCTGGGGCAGTTTGTCATGAAGACCAGAAGGACCCTCAAAGGCCATGGGAACAAAGTCCTGTGCATGGACTGGTGCAAAGACAAGAGGAGGATCGTGAGCTCGTCCCAGGTACGTCGCACCTGCTGTGTAACGGGTGAGCGGATCTTCGATATTCCAGCTAAGGGGGAAAGAGCTGTCCCTCTCAGAAAGCCCTTTTCTGATCTTTGTGACTTTGCTCATTCTCCAGAGGACAACGATTTAGCATGAACAATTCTCTTGTACACTACAGAACTCCACTCATTTGGGTAGATTTGGAATTGGTAATAGTTAAAACATTGTAGACTGTGTTTGACTTCCTCGATGAACCATTCGAATTAATTTCTTCCTGAGCATATTTCTAGGTCTTATTTGTGAGTGAAACCATTTTTAAAATAGTTTCTTTTTTTTTCCAACTTGCGGGCATACGATCCCATCAATGGCTTTCTTTCAACGTAAGGAGTTTAGCAATTCTTACGTCTTAAAGAACTAACTTAAGATACATAT